TTAAAGTAGTTCAAAATTTGTAATTAGATGGGTAGTTTTTAAATTAAATTTGTTATATGGATAGTTCTCACTTTCGTTTAGCATAAATTGTCTAATTTTTCTTTTTTGGTTTGTGAATGTTGTGAAAAATTGGTGTAAACTATTCATTGTGTGCTATTATTACTATATTATTGTCTTTTTTTGGATAACTGATTTCACCTATTATTGTCATCATTGTCAATATAGTATTATATCATTTTTTATATAAACTGTCTCTATATAAACCATTGCTATCATTGTCAATTTTACACAAACACATTCAAAACTCTAAATATTTGAAGATATATAATAAATGTAAATAAAAGAAATAGATATATGAGAACCTGTAACACCTTTGATTTAGGTCCAACAGAAAAATGAAAGGCTTATGTGTCTAAAGCACAAAGGAAAGGGTATTAGGGTTTTTCCAGAGTCCTTTCTTTATAAATAGAACTAGAGAGTCTGGATTTCCACCACAACTCCCAAAGCATTCAGAGATTTAACCTAGGAACCCTAACTGAGCAAGCCGCTGCCGCCGTTCGTCTTTGCTGCCGAGGAGAGCCGCCATCGTTCATCAGTTCCGAGCCGCCATTTTCTTGAGTCATTCGCATTCGGTAGTTAGATCCCTTAAACCCTAGATCCCTTTTTAGCTTTCACTCGATTAGGCAAATGTGAGGATGTGTTCATGCCTTTCCTTCGATATCGTTAGCTAGCTTGTTTCTGTTAGACCTGGATCTCAAGTCCTCTAAAACCCTACAAGTTCCGCTCTAGGTCATAACTTGTAGATCTGTGCTGTTTGCTAGGTTGTTATTTACATTCGGAACCTAGATCTAGATGTGGATTAATACTGTTGATTGTTGCTTGATATTGAATATTGCTTGTGAGAATTGTGAATCTGCATTGCATTGCATATAGTGTGTGAAAGCACAAACTGCATTAGGACACAGCAGTGAGAAGGCACTGCTGGCGTGATTGACGCCTGCGACAGAGGATGTGCTTGTCGTAGTGCCATGTGGTGCTCAGGTTGACGAACCAGTCGTGCAGCAACTTAGACTCTTGCGGAGATGCGTCCCCTAGCAAGGGTGTAAGACATACGAAGCTTGCGGAGATTGATCTATGGGATACTGTAACGAGAGGCGTTCAGTACGCTCGGTTTGTTTATTGCATATTTTGTTTGTTGATTGTTAGAGGAATCGTTAAACTGCGCTTGTTCGTTTGGCTCTAGCTAGCGATAGGTTCGAGTAATGATATATGTGGTGGACCACATGTATGTATTCTCCTGGGTAAACTAAATTACTCATCCCCTCCTATCCCTTTCCCTCTTGCGCAGGTGAGAAGGAGCAGCATGAGTGATTGGCGTGTGATGGTGGCGAGCTGGTTCTCTAGTTCGATCCTTAGGGTCCTTAAGACACTTAGCTTTCTATTTCTAATGGTTTTCAGTTGGTTTTGAGACTTGATTATGGTTTATTTCGGGTTTAAGTTGGTTATTGCAAGACTATTCGAATTTATATTTATGGAATGAGTATTGATTTGGAGTTAAAGTTGTGGTAACTTAGTTGGAAATTGAGTGTTTAACACATCATTTCATTTGTGGAGAGGCGGTGTTACAGAATCAATATGAACAAACGAGATGATATTGTTTTTTTTAAAAATAACTTTTGTCATATACTTTGAAATATCTTATTATAAATTCATATGGGATAAAGTAGGAATTGCCAGAGCTGCCTTCAGTATAACTTCTTTACTTCCATGAGATAAAAACTCGATCTAAATGTGTAGTCACAACCATGATTTCAATAGGCCCATTATGCACAACCTTAAGAAATTTAATTTGTCCATATATTTTTTTTTTTATGATATACTTTATCTACGATCTGGTTAGTCTTGCTATAGAACGCACCGAAAAGTTGTAAAAATGGATTAAAATATCTGTGGTTTAACGGTTCAATGGACATCAAAAGCTGAATTAATAAGCCATGAAATCTATAAGATCCAAAGAGCAACCGCATTACCTCTACCGAGTTGAAATGCCATCCAACTATATGCTAGGAAGTAATCAAATTGCTTGCATTTCTGACTACCAGATAAACTGATTGACCAAGGTCCAACTGACAGACTTTCCAACAAAGTGTTGATAACAACAAGAGATGAAGATTGAACCTGGGAGTTTCACGCTTTACCAAGCTAGCTCACCACCTTGCGGGCATATGTCCATATTAGTTTTAACTTCAAGTATGCAACAACCGCGTGGCCAATCCATTTTCTTCTAAGACGTCGCATTCTAAAATTACTATCTTGATTTACTTGGTAATATACTTTGTTAGCAAATTACTCATTTTGCCCTATATTTTTTTGTAGAAGGTGGACTAGTGTGTTTGATCAAATATTCATAGTTAGATCATACTATATTTACACGATCAGTTACCTTTCTTTGTTTTCAATGAATGCCAAATTTATTCAATCAGTAAAGGATTTTACATCAAGTGCTACATAGTTTGAGAGTTTGTTTTGAAAAAAAAACTAAAATCATAAACATAATTCTTGTGCAAACCAATGCCCATAGAGTTGGTCCTCTTGGAGTCGTATTGAGCTGAGACGCTGAACGATCTTGTGGCAAACCAATGCCCATAGAGTTAGTACACTTACTTCCCCATGCTTCCTTCCGCTTCTCTCTTTCCAGAGGCTGTAGATCGCTTGAAACACGTATCTAAAAGTTAAAGAATGTATACAATCTGTAGGAAGCTTTAAGATCCGAACAACATCGTCCCATTCGGTGGAGAAATTAGCGATAAATAATAGAAAGTTGATGTGTCAATTCGTGTACATCGGATTATCTCATAAACGAGATACACATTGTGTAAGTTTTTGTTGAGAAAATTCACATTGTGTATTCAAAAAAGAAAAAAAAAATCACATTATGTAAGTTACTAATGTCTTCACTAAACTTCTTTACTTCCATGAGTTATGAAACTCTGAATGGTATAGCAACGGGCAAATATATTCAATCTCAGGCTTCTTTTAATTTATTTGTTTTATAATCTTAGAATTTCACAACAAATAATCTGCTATTTAAAGTCACAACGATCAAGATCATTTACTATGTGTCCATAACTAGCTAAATGGACCCGGTGACTGAGTTAACGTACGCGTCAATTCTCGTACGTTGGATTATTCTGAAAACGAGATTCACGTTGATCTTTATAAGATACCGACTTTATGCAGTGATTCTCGTGACTATCGGGAGTGTGATTGATCAAATATTTCTTAGAATAGATAAGGACGAGAAAAAAATTTATGTTGGAAAAAGAAACATTTACTTATTATAGACAAACGTCACCTAAAAGAAATCAATTACAAAAATTTGAAATAAACTGAGGCGAAGATCCTAAACCAGGTTGGAAGAGAAGTCTTAAGATAATGTTACTTGGAAGAGAAGTCTTATGATTTCTTATAACATTCTTTTCTTGGAGGCTAACTTAGACCATATTAGCAAAGCGTCGAATACTAACCCAAGGATTTAGTATTCAAGAGGCTAAGGTGTTAATTTATCTGCAAAGGCTAAGGATTTCAAGATTTGATTCGTGAGGTCACATTATAATTTATAAAATCAGATTGTCCCTGCCCCAAGCTAATAATCTGTCCCGAGTAGGTGACCGGTTCTTTGGGACGCGATCCACAAACTAAAATGATTGTCACAGAATTTTAACAAAACTAAAGAAAAACAAATTGATAGAGTTAGCTGAACATACATCGTGATTTAACATAATAATGTGTATCGTATGAACTTACTAGCTAAACAATTATTTGACTTCATATTTCTGTGTTTTAAATTGTAGGAACGCAATTACTACAATTGGGCTGACCGATAATTTATGAAAAAATTATATATAATAAATCGGTAAACATAATATAAAATGATACCGATTAAACAAGAATTTAGAAAAGTGGATTGCAGAGTCGAGATATGGTGGTATTTTTTTTTAATTCTGTAAACGCCGTGACGGTTGCATGGTGTTCCGAATCACATGATACATCTGCATAATTCTTATGATTCCCATCACCCTTAATTCATAAATTTTCGAATCTTTTTCTGTGTTGTACTCTTAAAATAAAAATCAAAAAAAAGAAAAAAGAAAACAGAAATGTATATTATGATTGGGATTTTATGTTCTTTCTATAAAGAATGAGAGAGATGAGACTTTTCAACTCCTCCATATTGCTCATTAATCTCAATTAATATTGAGTCATTATGATTATTTGTGGAGTTACAAAATTGATGAAAATCAATTATTTAACTCTAGAAAATACTTGATTTGGCCAAGTTTTTAATTCTCAATTTGACTGAATAAATTATTCATTTTGACCAAATAAAAATTTATGTAGTGATCAATTACACAAATATTAATTTAATACAAAAGAAAATTTATTGGACCAAAGCCCATCTACCCCAAATCCACGCCTAAACCCAATCACAAGCCCGAGCCACTTTCGATTCGTCTCGATGCATGTGGTTTAGCATGAATTCACTCTTCTCTACAATTGTCCTAAGATCTTTAATCTTGATAAGACTTCTCCATAATTTTTTACTGGTCCCTTTGTGCATTTCAAGCAACAAACATTAGACAAGTATTTCTCATTCAAACAAACTCCAATTTTAATATATGAGTACACTCATAATCCGATAATTCCCTCGAAAATATGTTGGGAGTTGTTTGAAAATGTACCGATGCAACATGCCTTAAATTTGAGTTCCAATATAAATCACATTCAATATATATAAAATATAAATCATGCACTTTTACCATTTCACAAAAAAAAAATTAACATTTTTTTTATTTTACAAAGGATATCACTTTGCTTTTTTTTTCTAATTTTTCTATTTTGTTCTACCAAAGTACTACAGCCTATTAAAATTTTTGAAACTATCAAAAACCATTTTATAAATAAATTGCAAAGTCTTAAAACTCTTCCTACACTGGCAAATGAAAAGTTTTCTGTGGCACTTTTCTTGTTTTAAATAAAATATTAATTGAAACAAATAATAATTTCGAAACTTTTTTTTTGGTCGTCTTCTTTAATATTAAAGCCCATGAAAGGCAGAACAGCATACATATTTTGTTGGACCAAAAATAAAACAAAGAAATCAAAGTTTAGACCCACAACACTTGTTCAAGACGTGTAAACAAATGAAACAAAGAGAAACACGTGTTCAACAACGAGAACAGTTTGTGCAGCTCTGCTACCACCGCCGGAAACTTCCACCGCCGACGCAATTGAAACCAAAAACCACCGCAAAACTGCTGAGGATCCTTATTGCTGCTCAATCCTTTTGCATGAAGCCGCCATTAGAAGATGAAAACTTACTTTCACCGTTAGAGATTGAGACAAAGAGTCGTCGAAAATGAAGGTGAACAGAATATTCACCGGACCGCTTCAAAGAAGCGCCAGTTCTGCAGATCCTGCAGCACGATCACCCAGAAAACTCCCAAACTCTCAAATCGACTCCGCTAAAGAAACCTCCACTTCACAAGCAGGACGATCTATCAACAGAAAAGTGGAGGATTTGCTCTTTCTGAAGAAGATTCAGCATATCCAACGGAAAAGTGTTTGTCAAATTCGTCTGGAAATAAGAATAAAACATGCAAAAGGGATCCGAACGAAATCAGAGAAATTATTATCCCATAAACGGAAAACAAAATCCAATAAACGGAAGAAAGATCCGATTGACGGAATTATATAACAACCAAAAAGACCGAACAAGTCGGATCAAGAAAGAGAACTCTCTCTCTCTCAAAGATTTTAGTGAGAGAATAGAGAGAGTCGGATAATAATTTCGAAACTACCATCCCAATTGGAAACATCTTTTTTTTTGTGAACTTTAATTGGAAAAATCTTGACATGTAGATTTTAACCTATAAATAGAACTACAGCTAACGAAGAGCAGAGACCCAAACAAACAGAACAAAACAATCATAATTTAAATATTGCAGCTATGGCTCCGACTTTGCAAGGCGAGTGGATCAAGGTAATTGCTTAATTAATTAAGGATTATAACTACATTTCTCACAAATTTATAACTTTGCACGAGAGAATCTTAACATTAAAACCAAAAAAAACTTTGCACGAGAGAATCATTATATAGGTTATATATATATATATATATATTTGTTAGTAACTAAGAAAGCTAAGTAATCGTCCTGAAAAAGGGATATTCATAGTTTTTGAATCCAGTAATGAGTGATTGAGTATTAAGATTTTATTATCTGTATATAAAGATCAAATATTGGTTATCGATTTAGGTTAACTACACAAACTATGTAATGTATTCGAATGGACACATGAATATCCGTTGTAGTTGTCATAAATCTCATCATCATCACCATGCATGGTTTTGATGTGTCAGGTGGAGGAGAGAGGAGGACAAGGACTTGGAAAAAGAAGCTCACACGACATAGCTGTGGTCAGAGACAAGCTCTACTCTTTCGGCGGCGAGAACCCGGCAAACGCTTCCCTCGACAAAGACCTCTACGTCTTTGACTTCAACACTCACACTTGGTCAATCGCTCCTCCCAACGGAGACGCCCCTAACGTCAAAGCCTTAGGCACTCACATGGTGGCCGTGGGAACTAAGCTCTATCTATTCGGAAGGCGCGAGAAAAAAACAGTACGAGCTCGTAACTTCCTGACGAAGCTTGATGAAGGGGGAGAACCCGAGGCTTGTACTTTCCACTCGATGGCTTCAGATGAGAACCAAGTGCATGTATGATGTATTCGGTGCGGTGAACACATGCGAGATGATGGAAACCCGCCATTGGTTCAAGACGGTCGTAACATTTCTGATGGGAAATGGGCTCAGTTACCCTGGAGAAAAGTTCCAGATAAGAGCAGGAGCCGGATTTGCTGTGGTACAAGGAAAGATTTGGGTGGTTTACGGGTTTGCGTCTTCTCCTTATGATCTAAGTGGGAGAAATGACTATGAGTCTGATGCTGTGTAATGCTTTGATCCGTCAACTAAGAAATGGACCGAAGTGGAGACTAGAGGAGATAAACCTTCTGCGAGGAGCGTGTTTGTGCATGTGGTAGTTGGAATATATATACTAATATTTGGAGGTGAGGTCAAGCCGGACCCAAATGGACATAACAGTCCGGGGACATTAACCAATCAGGGTTTTGCGTTGGACACTGAGACATTGGTGTGGAAGAACTTTGGAGGAGGAGATGGACAGGAGAAACGCGGTTGGACCGCCTACACGACTGCCACAGTCTATGGAAAGAAAATCATTCTTATGAGGAAAACTGAGCTAGCGGAAGGAGTGGACGAGAATAGGGCTGAGCTGGATTAATAAAGAAGTCAAATTACTTTTGGGTGACGTGTCTTAAGAAGTTTAAGGAGTGTATAAATACCTTGAGACATGTACTTTGTTGTTTTTATCCAGAAAGTGTGTTAAGAATTGTAGGAGAAGCTTGTTCTCTGCAATCAGGCGATCCGTGAGAGTTTGTTCTTCAGATTGAGAGTCGTTGATTTGTCATCAGAGAGTCTCTGTCACATTTCAACATTGTAGTTCTTGTTGAGAGTTATAAAATCCTTCTTTCCTCTTAACAAATTGGTGCGGTGACGATCGGATTTCACGAAACTCAGAAATGGCAGAGATCAAAGATATGATAGAGATAATTCAAGGCAATTTGGCAGAGTTAACCAAATTCAAAGAGCTTGCGACATCTCAAATCGCGGCTCAGCGTGGTGGTTGGGAACGATTGACGAAGGCGAACACAGAGCTCACGACGCGATGGATAAACACATGGTGTCCATAACAGAAACCTTGGCGCGAATGGAAGCAAATCAATTTGGCGGAAAAGCACCAGGGAAATCAATCGCAACGGCGTCGGGTACGGCTCATGAGATTAGACCTGATATCGAAAATCTTCCGATGGATAATCAGTTAGGTTATCGGGAATAGCTAATGTGCTAGAGAATCGCTCGGGTTTGTTGAAGAAGATAGAGTTACCTGTGTTAGATGGATCTGGTCTGTATGGTTGGATCACCTTAGCAGAACGATTTTTCAGACTTGGGAACTATACAGACAGAGATCGAATATATCTGTTATTAGTCAGTCTTCAAGGTCCGGCATTGAATTGGTTTAATAGAGAGATGGACCAGGAACCTTTCAGTGATTTGCGTCAGTTTAAACGTCGTATGATTGCCAGATTTGTTCAGAGGGTGAAGGAGAATCCAAGTAAGAGATTGTTTAGCATGAAACATACAGGAGCAATAGCTGATTATGTAAATGAGTTTGAGGAGTTATCTACGATAGTAACTGGTGTGGATGAAGCAAATTTGGAGCATGTCTTTTACAATGGATTGAAGCCGGAAATTCAAGAGGTCATTAAGATGAAAAAGCCTAGAGGTTTGACATAACATTTTGAAGCAGTCATATCAATAGAGGACAATGCTTTCTATAAATCCATGGCTGAAGCAGCTCAGAGTCCTCAATCTAAGAAGCCACCAAACTTTGTACCTTTGAGATCTTCATCAGGCTACAATTCTGAACGCTCATGGCAATCTCCAAGTTCTCATTCAGAAAATTCCAAAGGGTTGAAGACTGTTGAGCGACAAGCAGATAAAGCAAAAGCAATCCAGTGACAGTCTTTTAAGAACCACAAGGGAAAAGGGGGTTTGGCAAACAAATTACAGCTCACTCCAAAAGAGTATGCCAAAAAGAGAAGGTTGGGCTTATGCTATCAGTGTCCAGAGAAGTGGTCTAGATCTCATCTCTGCAAAAACAAAGAGCTCCAAGTGTACACAATTATCAACGGTTGTGAGGTTGATTTGGGAGATCCGCAAGAAGTTGATACGTTTGAGGATGAAGGGGGTGGTGTCACGGAGCTAATGGAATTATCACTGTTATCCTTTTTGGGATTGGATTCACCATGCACAACAAAACTTTGGGGGACGATTGGTACAACAAAGGTGATCGTGATATTGGACAGTGGAGCCACACACAATCATAGATCCTTCGGTTCTGAAGAAGACACAATCATGCCCACCCACAGATGCTCAGTTGCAGATTTTGTTGGGAACGAGTATCAAAGTGAATGCATCAGGTGTTTGTAAAGAGGTGCAGTTGATAGGGCTCAGGTTTTACCCAAAGAAAAACTACTGCAAGTGCACAGCAAAGGAGTTGTAGTATATAGGGTTATCGAATCCCAAAAGAGTAAGTAAACTACACTAACGATTTATAGATTCAGATTAAGTTAAGCAGTAAATAATGAATGTAAACTAAAATTATGATATCAGGCGAAATTTGATTGATTTAAGACTCACAAAACTAAAAGCGCTAAGTCAGGACAATTCGCAGGTTGAATCCGAGAATGTAGAATGCATGAAATCAGGAATGAATAAGAACCATCTTGAACATGAATCGAAAATATATAACTAATCAATTCTCATTGCAGAAGTTAACTATGTCTAAATCATAGAGTTTTAAATCTCTTTGCAAACCCTAACAACCTAAACATGCAGTAATGATCAGTTTCAATTGTTCACAAAAAAGCTAAATCTCTTTGCACTAAGTCGTTTTGCTCATCTAATGCTCGATCAAGTTATCAATAATGCTCTCACATCTACTAAACAATCTAGGTTTCGAATTTCCAGATGACGTGTTTAAGAAAATCGGTTTAAAAGCAAGCACATATGAAGAACCAAAAGATATTCCTAACAGATAGCGATTTCTACAAACTCATCATCAACCCTTGAAAAGCACTAACTTAACTAGCAGATTACTCAGACATGATCATGGAATCACAAAGCATAGCTGAATTAAATTGTATTGAAAGAATATAATAAAAGATAAAAGGGTTCGAAATCTTCTCCAAAAAGAGTACAAGATCTGCCTCCACAAAAGCTCTGAATAAAATCCTCTCTAAAGCTCTCTGAATTCTAAAATCTAAGATATAAGCCAACAATGGCTGAAAACCTAATATACAGAAACTAAAACACGAGCTGGAACACTTTTGTAAATAGTAGAACTTCAGGGGCTAAAGTGCAAACAATCTTCAATCTTTTAACAAACCATCGCGACTCCTTCCCATCTACGGGTGACGAGCGTCACCCTTGAGTGGTGACGAGCATCACCCAAGCCAACAATCGCCTTCTGAGTTGCACACTCTGTGGTTGTATCTTGCAATGCTCCAAAAAGCTCCATAATCTCCAATTGTGCTCGAGACATGCTATAACCTGGAAAGACTCTACTAGGACTCTAAAAATACCAAAAATACTCAATAAAAAGAACTTATATCATGGTTAAAAACTATAAAAACTATGATATATCAACTCCCCCAGATTTAGCTTTTGCTTGCCCTCAAGCAAACATCAGACAAAGAACAGGGTCGAGGTTTGAAAACAGAAACAGTCAGCTAAACATCAGGATCACCACATTGATCAACACTTTCAAATTCACATAACACATAGTCAACACAAGATCAAATTTCAGTCTAATCATCACAAGCTTAGCAAATCTCTCAAATCCAATCCAAATCCCTTTAAGAAATCCGAAATTTCTGCTGCTAACTCCTTATATCTATCTAAGTGTGATATCTCATCAATGTTTTATCACCTCAATCACTTACAGATTCCTTTCCCTTCCTAAACAACTGAACAAAGCAATTTTAACACAGCTCTCCTATTTTCTCTTCCCTTGATATTTTCTTTTTGATATTTTCGATTTTTCAACTCTTTTCTTATTTTTTTTTACTGTATAAGATATGGTGCTACTCAATACTTGTGTTCCTTGTGAGGAAACATGTTCTTGAGTGTTGTTCATTACTGTTGTTCTTTGTGAGGAGACAAAGTCATGAATGCACCATTCTTTTGACGTAAACTCTTAGAAGCTGTATTAGGGAAGATCAAAAAGAAACTGCATCTAAACATACTTGTCAATGCTGAAAGAGAGAATCAAGATCAATGAGAATCAAGCCCCAAGACAAAAAGTTTAAAGTTCATTAAAGTGGAGCTAACAACAAATTTTCTAGATTCTCTAAGAACTTAAACCTTCATTGATAGACTAATCTACCTATGACTTTAAACTTAGTAAGACTTGTAATCAACTACTGTGGCATTGGTTCTTATGAGCATCAACGTTCTGTGGTTAGTTCCAAGAAAAACTGACAGTTGAAAAATTTTGACTTTATAAAACAGGTTTTTGACTCAACTTTAAGACTCTAAAAATCAAACACAATGTACACAACATCAGTAACCACCTCTCCCAGACTTAAATAACACTGTCCTCAGTTTTATTAAGCCAAGATTTGGTCAAAAAGAAGCATATGAACGTGTAGAACCAAGTTAGAAAAATATTACCTCGCGAAGGGACGGGTGACGAGCGTCACCCTCAGTGGTGACGAGCGTCACCGCGTCTGGAACTTCAGCATCGACTAGTTAGATGAGTTCAACGATATGTTATCATGTGTACTCTAAAGTTAGACTGTTATAGCACTCAAACACACATTTAATAGCATCCAAACATAGCAATAAAACCTGGTTCAACAATATCACAAAACATCATCAAAGTAACTGACAACTGACTCAAAGAAAATCATAAAAATAACTCAAGAGAAATAAAAGAAAAGAGAAACAGAAACAAGTAACCAGATAGTAGAGGATCTAATCCTCATCCTCGCAAGGCTCGGTAGTGTAGTGTTGGTGGACACAGCCACAGTTTCTGATTGTAGTAACAGCATCCCATAAGCCCTCAAAGCTGTCAATGACATACTCCTGAAAAGCAGTCACGTCCATGGGTGTCTGAGGTCACGGAGGGCGCCTGAAAGCAGAGGGTGTGGTCGTTGATGGAGCCTGACGTCTGGAAGGTCCAGCCTGAGCAGCAGCAACAGAGGAGGAAGCGCCAGCAGTGGCTCCTCTGGGACGCTGTGGAAGAAGGCGCAGCAAACTCGGATCTGGCAGAAAGCGCAGCTGGCGTCTATCTCCCTGGATCGTGGTGTACTGTGGACTGGGCAACAGTATGCCAACATATTCTCCATTGGTAGTAGTGAATGTCCAGACCAATCGCTGCTTGTACCAAGTAGCGTTACGCAGATGCGTGTCATCCATAAGGGATCTCTCAGTGATGATTCTGCAAGGTGATGTATTGATCTGGAAATGCTGGAAAATGGGTGTAAGAAGACTGTCCACGCTCTCACTCTTCTCCCCTGGACTGGTGAATGGCTTGGTCTTCAGAGAGACCAAGTGCTCAGAAAAAACAGCGCTAAAGTTGGCGCGGACCATGCTGTCTATCGGGATCTCATCATCCAGCATCTCAGCAAAGCTGTAGTAAAGCAGAATCAACTCACT